GGTGTCAAACTCATTTTCACCGAGGGCCACATGAGCATTATGGTGGCCCTGGAAGGGCCTTTTGTAATAAACTTTGACGTTTCATGTTTAACTTTGACTAAACAATGTTTTAACACGTCCTCTTTTAAGCACTGATAAGAACTAAGTGTATGACTGGCTAAATCTGAAATAAATACAGAAATATGTCATTACGTTTAGAAGTGCACAGGCTTCACCTTAGAGACCTACATTATCACTGCAGACCACGATAAAAAAAAATGCCAGGTCTCAATATTTTGCTCAGTTGGTCACCTGCTTTAAGAAAAACCCCAGAGCSTTATTCAGCACCAYTGAMACGTTGGTTTCCCTGGTCATTTCCTCTCCTACCGCCTGTTCATCTGCCAGTCCCAACAACTTTGTAACACACTTTGTCGTCAAAATTGAGAACATCCGGCACAGCGTCTCAACTCAACCGTCACATGCTCCATTTCATCCCCCCCGAGAACAGTCTCAGTCCTTCCTGGTCCTCTTTTGATCTGGTAACTGTGAATAATCTTGGGACCATAATCCAAAAAATGAAACCATCTGCCTCCCCTCTTGACATCTTACCTCCCAGATCCTTAAAACCTGTTTTTGACGTAGTGGGACCCACACTTGCGGACTTCCTAAACCTGTCTCTTACATCAGGATGTGTCCCACAAGCCTTTAAAAAAGAAGTTGTGGAACCTAAACTAAAAAAGCAATTAGATTATTTTCAAACAATGCTGCTGACGTGATGTATCACGTGAACAAATTCTGAGAGCAGAAGTTATAATCACAAGTAATCTTCAGGAAAAGCCGGAGGACCAGCAGACCTTGAATTAACTTCCTCTCAACACAGGTTAATTATCTTTGTATGAGTTGAGTATTTCTTTTATTCATTGCCACAACTAATCAGGCATAGAAAATACAAAAAAGCTATTATTCAGTCAAATAAAGAGCAAACATTTGGTGAATTATCTCAGGGGTGTCAAACTCATTTTCACCAAGGGCCACATGAGTGTTATGGTGGCCCTCGAAGGGCCACTTGTAATAAACTTTGATGTTTCATGTTTAACTTTGACTAAAC